AAACAACCAATGGAAGGTTATGAGCATAAAAGAGAACCATGCAAACGGAATGTGTCATGCAAAAGTTATTATTAATGAGGTGAATTCTCTACTTTCAATTTATGAAATATTCATGTTTATCTTTTTCATGGAAATTTCGATTCCCTTTCATCATATTTCTTTCGAATGTTGCAAAGAAAATTTCATATCGTTAGAAAATTTCAATTTTTAATTGAGTATCTGTTATACATACGTAATGTAAATTTTATTTTAAATATTTTTGCGGAGATACATCTTTTAAAAAAAAAACAGTTATTATTAACTTATTTTCCTTGAATTTCCTGGATTTTTTTTGGTATAAAGAAAGATAGAAAAACAATGAAAAATTTGAGATAGATATCAGTTGCCACATTCCTTCAACAAAACAACGGAGTACGTACAAAGACGATAAGTGATTATATGTTTGATGACTTGAAAATTGAAATAAATCAATAATGGAGGTGCCACACTTCCATCAGAACATATTGATTATATATAATTTTGGATTTTTAATTTCTACAATTAAACTATTTTATCAATCTGTTATCAAAATATAATTCATCATATAATTTTCTTAATTTTCAAATATATAGTTTCATTTTTCTTTTTATCTAAATATAATGTGTTTGATGACAAAAAAAATATATTTTTAATATTCTATGATGTTTAAGGATTTATCACACATATTAAGAAAATTTTAAATTCTTTGTTTTTTCAAATTAAAAAATGATTTATCATTCAATTAAATAAAATTTAACCATTAAAAAATGAAAATACAGTCAAATTAAATAAAAATACATTTAATTTTATATTGAAAAATGAAAAAAATCATCTAATTTAAAATAAAAAAAATTCTCTAAAAAATCATCTAATTTAATTTTCTTATAAAATATATAATACAAAATCAATATAACACAAATTTATTATAACCTACAAACCCGGCCAGGATTACTAAAAGGTTTTTTTTTTTAACTTTTCTCAGCCGTCCTACGTTTCAATTTTTCTAATCTTTTGGAGAAACATAAATAAATCGTATATATCCAGAATATTGAAAAGATTGTGTCACACAAAAAACTTGGTGGCGAAGGTCATTCCTCTATAACTATTAACTAGATGATTTCCCGCACCGTGTGCGGATTCAAAAATGCGGTGCGGATTCAAATATATTTTGCAAGAATAAAATTATAATTTGCTATTATCAATAATTGTGATATTGATGTGGAGATATGTATTATATAATGATTGTGTGTAGATGTAAATGTATTTTGTAAAAATAAAAATTATGATTCATTATTGTAAATTTTTGATTAGCAATTAGCTTTTTAATTAGGTTCATGTTCCACATTATGACATACCAAGAGGAAGATTTGATGGTAAGAGATCGAAGATAGACACAAGAAATTTTCTTCCACATACCATTTTTCAGTGTTTCTCAAACTCATTCAAATTTTCTCAAA